GAGTCAAATGTTTTGGCTTGCAGGATTTCTCATAATTTCTGTAGGTTCCTCTAATTTAGGACTTCAGTTTTAATTATGCCATGTAGATTTTTCATCGTACAAACAGATTCAAAGAATAGTACACTTGGAAAGTGATCGGAAATATCAGGAAGCACCACACCAGAATTTAGGCAAGTGTTCTGGATGTTTGTGATAATGTTGTCAATGGTTGACTTGGTGGAGTGTGTTACTATAGTGTATAAATTAATGGTAGGAAAAAAAAGAGGATGAATGTAAAGTATTGATGAAGTCATTTTTAGCACCATTATCTTTGGCGATATCTATATTGAAATCCCAAGGATGACACACGCTTTATTTTTATTATTTATGGAGAACAAAAGCTTGTCTAGCTTGACCCTGAAGGTATTTAAGTCAGAGTCAGGGGGGCGGTAAATTACACGGATAATAAGTTTTTTACCTATTTAAATTTGTCTCAATAAAGAGAGAGTCGGAGCAGTCATCATTAATATCAAGATCACAAATAATTACCTGGTATTTTGACTTTAAATAAAAACGTATCCCCCCTCCAGTTCGACCAGGTCTATTTTTATAATAAAAATTATAACCATCTATGTTCAGGATATCAACAAATGATCTATCATTCAGCCACGTTTCACAACATCCTTTAACATCAAAACTACCGCTTGAGTTGGCAAGAAAGGCAACCAGGTCATCGTGGTCTTTATTCAGACTTCTAATGTTTAGGTGCAGAAGTGAGAATTTATTATGTTTATTCATACAGCTCAATTTCTCAAGGGCATAATAATTACAACTTAAATTCCTATTGATGCTTATGCACTGCTGTAAATAATTTTCATCATAACTTAAATCTTCAAATCCCATATAAAAACAGGCATTTATGGCCAGAATAGCTGCAGAGAACGGTTTCTGGGAACAAACGAGAAGACAAACAAAGACAAAAACAATGAAGACAACAAGCAGACAAACCCATAAGCAGCATAATACCCTGCGTGCAGCAAGAGTGAGACATACAGTATCTCACAAAAGTGAGTGCACCCCTCACACTTCGATGATTAATTTAGTATATCTTTTCAAGGGACAACGTTACAGAAATGAAACCTGAATATATTCTAGAGTAATCATTGTACAATATGTGTAGCTGTGTAGATTTACTGCACTGTCCAAATAACTGAACAAACTGTCACTACTTCCAAAATGGGTGGCAACAAAAGTGACTACACCTCACCGTCAACATGCCACATTGTGTCCATAGTGTCAAGATTTAGTGTGACCACCATTGTTGTCCAGCACTGCCTTGATTCTCCTAGGCATGGAATTCACCAGAGCTGCACAGGTTGTTGCTGGGATCCTCCTCCACTCCTCCATGACAGCATCACGGAGCTGGTGGTTGTTGAACACCTGCTGCTCCTCCACTTTCCTCTTGAGGATGCCCCACAGGTGCTCAATGAGATTCAGGTCTGAAGACATACTTGGCCACGCCATCACCTTCACCTCTTCAGCTTCTTCAGGAAGGCAGTTGTCATCTTGGAGGTCGTTATCATGTTGGAAAGCTGCCGTGCGGCCCAGTTTCCGAAGGGAGGGCATCATGTTCTGCTTCAGAATGTCACAGTACATGTTGGAATCCATTATTCCATTCATGAAGCACAACTCCCCAGGACCAGAAGCACTCATGCAGCCCCAGACCATGATGCTGCCACCACCATGTTTGACTGTAGGCACTACACACTTGTCTTGGTACTCCTCACCAGGGCGCCGCCACACATGCTGGACACCATCTGAGCCAAACAGGTTTATCTTGGTCTCGTCAGACCACAGAACATGGTTCCAGTAGTTCATGTTCTTGCACTGGTTGTCTTCAGCAAACTGTTTTCGGGCTTTCTTTTGGGCTAGCATCAGAGGAGGCTTCCGTCTTAGCCAACGGCCATGCAGACCGGCGTATGGTCCGAGCACTGACAGGCTGGTCTCCCACTGCTGCAACCTCGTTAGCAATGCTGCCAGTACTCCTGTGTCTGTTTTCTGAAGCCAACTTGTGCACCTGACGCAGAGCATGAGGACTCAACCTCTTCGGTTGACCCTGACGAGGCCTGTTCTGAGCAGAACCCGTCTTGGAAAACCGCTGGATAACCTTGGCCACCGTGATGTAGCTCAGTTTCATGGTTTCACAGATCTTCTTGTAGCTTAGACCATCTTTCTGGAGAGCAACAATTCTCTTTTTCAGATCCTCAGCGAGTTCTTTACCATGAGGTGTCATGCTGACCATCCAGTGACCAAAATAAGAGCATTGCATCCAAAGCACCACAATTTAAACCTTCAACACATGTTACACAAACTCATATGGCCCAGTTGAACAGACAAAAGCATGAACATGATGAATAAGACACGTTTCATTGCTTGGTTGACCATTACCAATTGGGGTGTGTACTCACTTTTCTTGCCACCCACTTTGGAAATAGTGACTGTTTATTCAGTTATTTGGACAGTGCAGTAAATCTACACTGCTACACTTAATGTACAATGACTACTCTAGAATATATTCAAGTTCCATTTCTGTAACATTGTCCCTTGAAAACATATAATAAATTCATTGTTGAAATGTGAGGGGTGTACTCACTTTTGTGAGATACTGTACATCAGGGAGCGACTGCCACGTCACCTAAACCCCCCCACTGTGCGATAGAAGTGGGCTATAGATCAATGAGCTAAAAAATGAAACGGGTCCCCAAATTGCATTATAAACATGACAACGTCGTAATATTCTCCGTTGCACCATGAGAAAAGGCAAACTTAGAGACAAAGCTCTAGTTACTATTGAAAGAAAAGAAAAATGGAGAAGTCATCCAAAAAGAAAAAAAAGAAAGAAATAATAAGGACAGAGTTTAGTGAATTAGTTCATCGTTTTCCAGTTCCAGTGTGCAAGAGATTTCCAGCCACACAGTCAACACAGTCAAAGACAGTCTTACCTCCGACTGTTAATAGCAGCCTCTGAATCCTAACAGTAATGTCACCGGGCACTCAGTCCTCAGCCGCAGGTGAGGAGGGAGAGATAAAATCCGCGGCTGCTTTTAAGTCCGTAAACGTGTGGATTTCATTTCCTTTGGTGAGCTTTATGGTGGCAGGGTAAAGTAGAAACGCCTTGTAGCCCTGGGTGCGGACATCATGCATTAGCTTGTAGCAAGGTTTTCGGCGTGCTGTAGTTTCTGCACTATAATCAGGAGCAAACTTCAGCTGGAGGCCGCTCACCGTGGGAGGACTCACTCTGGCGGCATTCAGGACGCGATCCCTGTCAGTGTAGCGGAGAAACTTGATTATCATTGGCCGGATGCCAGGTTTCCTCCCGTCAGGCCCGGGTCTCGGCGGCCGTCCGAGGCGGTGAGATCTCATTAGCTCCGGGGGCGACGCTGCCAGGTTGGTGAACCATTCCGAATCTTCTCTGTCAGGTAGGCAAGTGCGTGGTGTTTCTCCAGACCCTCTTTGAGGTTGAAGAGTAGCGGGTTGTCTCTTCATAATCTATCTTCTAGTTCACCAAGTCCTTTTGACAGGCAGTTCTTTTCAGTGTTGGAGACGCGCTGCTTCAATTTGGCAGTATCTGAGTGAATTGTTTTTACTTCTTCTGTGTGGCGTGACAATATAGAGTTCATCTTGTTGATATGTTTTTCGAGTCTCTAGGCACGGGCCTCTGCTCTTTCATCAACCTCTTTGAAATATTTGGCCAAAACATCTTCAGATACTACTGCAGGTACTGCAGATTCCTCCCCCAACTCAGTCTGCATTTTGGCCACTGTGTTTGGCTGAGCGGCAAGTTTACGTCTCATCGCTGGCATAAACTTGGCAAATTTCAAAAGGATAGGTTAAACTTTCAGAAAAAAATGGAAACTTTCAAAAACTGGAAAAAAGTGCCCAATAGCATCAGAGATTTAAAAAGTTTTAAAAGTTCGGCGGAGGGTAGACGCTGTAGCTGACTATCCTGTGCTCACATGACTGTGAGAAAAGCGTTAGTGAGAAAGCAGAAGGATGAGTTACACTTAGGCACCCCACCCCTTAAGCCCGAATGCCTCCGATACCAGGGGTGGTCGTTACGCACAATAAAAACAGCATGTTTCCTAATTGCAACACCGTCATGCAGCTTATCCACTTTACTCGAAGAAACTTGGTAAAAAGCTCATGTTGACCATTTTTACCTCAACCGAACACAATTCAAGCACCAAGCAAGTAAATAACCATGTAACGAGACATAGGATAAAATTATATCAGTGCTGAGTCGCTAACATTTCTACGGAATTTGTGCTAGGCATACAAACGATAACTCAAATGAAAGAGGAAAGTCCACAGAATCCATCAATATAAGCCTTGTCATTTTAAACCGACACCACACTCAAAGAACAGCAGGCATACACTTTACAGTCTACAGAGATGAGCAAAAAAAATTTCTTACCTTTTGATATTTTGTAATAAAAAACTGTTTGAGGGTAAATCTGCACTCCCTATTGTTAGCCCAATATGTCCATGTTATAATGAAACTAGATCTTCCAGTCTCCAAGCACGTTTGTTTCCCAGGGCATTGCTTCAAAGATCTCAGCTCCTTAGCATTCAGCTTGCTTGCAATGTATTTTCCTCTCTGTGATCGGCTTGTGATGCTGTCAGAAAGACTATGCCAGTTGCCATTTGATTCTATGGGCTTTGACGTTTCCAACAAACCCTAAACCACCTTAATCGCAAAAACCTAGCCTAAGCCAGTGCGTCAAACTGAGTCCTTGGGCCATTCGCGTGTACTTGAATAGCGCACCAAAATAAACGCATAACTAGTTTGTTTGTGGTATTTTCCAAATAATTATCCACTAAATATTGAAAAGTCATTTTCAAAGTCGTTTTCTGTCAGAATCTTTGTGCCATTCCGCATGAATACTGAAAGTACAACAGCATAGTACGTGTTTTCTTGACCCATTCGTTATGTGGGCAATTTGACATGGAACATTCAGTTTGCTAGTGTAGCCTTGTGGTTAGGATGCAGTATTGCAGTCTATGCAATCAGGGTTCAAATCCCAGCTTTGGCAAATGTTTATTAGGGCAATAATTGCATTTTTCTTCTATAAGTAATTGTTTTGGTGGATGAAAAAAGGGCTGAATTCTTGAGTGGTTAAATAACATAACATAACATTTAGGGCGAGAACAGGCCATTCAGCCCAACTAGGCTCGCCAGTTATTTATTTTTTTTTTTTTATTGTGAATATATCACTTCAGATACTCAAGGACTCAATGGTATCTAGCTTTAAGTCAAGCCTGCTCTTGAAAATTCCCAAGGTTTCTGCCTCAACAATATGGTCAGGCAAGCTATCCCACATCGAAATTACTCTTTGGGTGAAAAAATATTTCCTAATATCAGTGCTAAATTTACCCTTGGTCAACTTCCATTTGTGACCCCGCGTTCTACTAACAGAAGTTGGCCGAAGGAATTCAACATAATACACTTTGTTAATCCCTTTAACATATTTAAAGACCTCAATCAGATCACCCCTAAGTCTCCTTTTCCTAAGACTAAAAAGATTAAGGATCTTCAGCCTCTTCTCATAGCTTTCGTCTTTTATACCTGGAATTAGCTTAGAGGCTCTTCTCTGAACTTTTTCTAAATCCTTTATATCTTTCTTAAAGTATGGACCCCAGAACTGTACACAATACTCCAGATGTGGTCTGACGAATGTGTTGTACAAGAGAAGTATGACCTCCTTGGATTTGTACTCAATACTTTTGGCAATACTTTTCCCCACCATACCTAGCTCAGATGAGGTTCCAGTGACCACTACTCTTCGTGTTCTGTCCTGTAACCAGTTTTGAATCCACTGCAGAATACCACCTGTAACTCCAATGGAGCTCATTTTAAAAATGAGTCTCTTATGCGGTACTGTATCAAATGCTTTTTGAAAATCCAAGTATATGATGTCATAAGCCCTGCTCAGATCATAAGTCTTAGTGGCCCCTTCAAAAAATTCCAGAAGGTTTCTCAGGCATGACCTTCCCTTACGGAAATCATGTTGGCTATCTCTCAAGATATTATTACGTTCAAGAAATAATTCCAGCTCGTCTTTTATGAAAGATTCCAGTATTTTGCATGCAATGCAAGTTAAACTAGGTTGTGACCATCGAGGGGCATCTGTTAGAATGCATACAGGTTGTTCCCTTTGATTGTTTATTCAATTCAATGCATGTGTGTGTGTGTGGTTCTGAAACACAGATACAAGAATAATCAGTGCAAGTTCACATATATTTTCCAGCAGTGTTTCATACCTCCAGTCAGATAGTGCACAATATTTTGAGGTTAATCACTTCTGTTTACATGGTGTGATTACTGAAAAATTACTCAAAGTGAATACAAATCCAGAACAAGATAAAGGATCATCTGCTTAACAAAGCATCGCGTTACGAAGCAGAAGTGACTATCACGTCGCGGGTTCGATCCCCGCCTCGTACCAGCCAGCAGTGGTCGGCAGCTTTTTCAGAATAGTGCACAATTGGCTATTGCGCTATAGTGTTGCAAATTGGGAAGGGACTGCCGGGAAGGGAAAATAATAGTTGCCTTGTTAGATTGCTCAAAGCGCCTCCCGTTGGCCAGGCGGCGCGCTCGTCAGGAAGATTCTAAGCCTGTTCATGTCCGGGTATCCTCCGCCCTCGTTCTGAACTTGCGAAGATTCAACTAATGAGTGTATAAGAAGCAGCAAGCTGACAGGCGGGTGCTTCGGAGGAGAGCCGTGAACTGTCTTCACTCTCCTAAATTGGCAGCAAGGGGTCGCATACGAGCAAGCCTTGTACATAGTTCACCAATTGGGCATTCCAGATTCGGGTGGGATTGGAGATGCCAAATAAAAAAAAAAAAAGCAGTAATGATGACGTTGTGCATATCGCTATAAATCAATTGACGTTAAAACAGCAAGCTTCTGAACCCTCAAATTGGCGCTTAGCCTCCACAGTAACCACAATTCAAACGCAGCACGGACGTAGATATTCTTCACATCATACAACTGCATAGATCAACACAATCTAACAAAGGCACTTGGTGTGTACGAACAATTCTATAAATGTGTCGCACCAACAAGTACACAATGGTAGGTAACATAAGTAGCAATTGGCACACTGAGTAGCAATTGGCACACCGAGAACAACCATGCTCCGCTCATACTCAAACAATAACAATTAATGGCGAGATGGCTAACAATATTAGCTTGCTAATACTCGCGACTTGCATTACTTAATTGACTAAATATAGGACTAGTTCTTGTTTACTAACATTGACGTCATATTCAGACATGCGCATTAGCGTGGTTGGTAAGAACAAGTGTAAATCAATACAACAAAACGGGGAAGTGTGGCATCCTGCAGTTGTGGAACCGATTCGGCGGTCTCTGAATATGTATAAAACCTTGACAGTACCGTGAAGACAAGATATTTCTCTAAGCTTAAGTACAACGAAGGTTTGTGTAGGCTTCCAGATCCTAACGAGCTGAAAGGTTGGAGGAATGACCCTTCTTTGGGTCTGGGTCGGCTGGATCACCACTTGATATTCCTTGATTAATTAATTAAATTAACAACCCTACAAAAACCCAAAGCACAGGGAGGACTTGCAGCACCAAATTTTTTTCACTACTATATTGCAAATCAGCTTCAGTATTTATTCAAATGGATTCATCCCCACCAATCAGATAATACATGGATAGATATAGAACAGACAAATTGCAAAAATATCCCTATTTCAGATTTACCATTTCTCAGTCAGTCCATCAAACGTTACCTCTGCTTTAAGACATTCACAATATCAGCAACTCTGACAGCCTGGTGGAAATTCCACAAAATCACAAACTCCACATTAACTTTTTCAAAATTCACTCCGATTTGGAATAACCCCGATTTTCTCAGCAATAAAAACCATTACATTTCCTCACATGGTCAGAAAAAGGGATCACTCACTTATCACATATCACTCAAAAATAATACACTGGTTTCATTCACTCACCTGGTCCGGGAGCACGCATCAGGAGCAATCAGTTTCTAGAATACTTGCAGCTAAAATCATCAATTCAAGCTACCTGTAACATAAAATCCATCAACCTTGACTTACCTCCATCAGCCTCAGACCTAATCAACATTCATTCAACAAAAAAACTCCTCTCAAAAATATATAGCATAATCTCAACATCAGATAAAACAATTTCTATGCCAACAGGAAAATGGGAAAGAGATCTGCTGATTGCTCCTGATTCTGACTTCTGGAACCAAATCTGCCAAAATATTTATTTCATGACTAGAAATGCAAACCTACAGTTAATTCAATACAAGATACTCCACAGAACCCACTACACTGGCCAGAAAATGTCTAAAATGGGCTTCACTTCAGAAACATGTTCTAACTGCACCCAAAACCAACCAGACACTTATATCCACGCTATTTGGCACTGCACACCTATTCAGCAGTTTTGGGAAAAAGGTCACAAATTCACTCTCTGATCTCTTTGGCTGTCACATCCCTCTATCCCCCCACTCTGCTTACTAGGTGACACAACAATTACAAATTTGACAAGACCAAATAAAAAAATTCTTCTAATAGCCCTAACTGTTGCCAAGAAAACAATCCTCATGAACTGGAAATCAAAAAGCAACACAAACATCACACAATGGAAGAATTATCTGATGGATCACATTACTATGGAAAACACAACATCCCGACCCCACCCAACAGCATACAACAGAACCCCCCGTCCATCTGGTCCCTCTCATTAACTTCTTACAAACCTAATCTGGCAAAGCAATACACCTCTTTTGCCTGGGAACCAATCTCAAATGACGTTAAGCTCATTCATTTATTCAATTACTCATTTATATGCATGTTTACATTCACACATACATACATACAAACAAACACAAAATACATTCAAGCATACATGCGCACATGCATACATTCAAGCATAAAACATACATATAAATAATTGCTCTGTAAGTCTATGACTCATAACACTACAATCTACAAATCTTTACTTATAAATGATAAAATAATGATTTAAGCTGGTGACGATAGGTGACGGGGCGGCAATAATAATATTGACAAGAAATGATAAATGTACAGTTGCTAAACTACAATGGTGAATGTATGATTGCTGTTATCACTATTTGGTCAGGGGGGCAACATGGGCTCTGTGGCCTGCACCTGCCTTCGCCCGTCTCGGCCTTCTTCCAATCCTCACGCCTGGGCTAATGCCGCCTTACATGCCTTTGCCTTTTTTGTCTCTCGTATATGTTATACACCATCTTCAATAAAAAAAAAAAAAAAACACACTCAAAGAATAGGGCAAGTGGGGCTTGGACGTAGGGGCTGGCCTTTGGTTGTCTTCTCGTCACATTCCTCACTTTTTTAATGCACTACACTAGCTGAGTCACATCCCCCCCCCCAAAAGGGGGGAAAAAAAAAAAAAAGGAAGGGGGGAGAAGGCAGACGGGCTGTGGGTGGCGTCCGGGATGGGGTGGGGGTTGGCATGGGCGGGGTGGTGGGGGTCACGGGCCCTGTGCCTTCTTAATATTTAATACTTAATAATGCTATTTATGTTATTGTAATTGTTCTCATTATTCTTAAATTTTCTATTATTATTGTTATGGATGTAATAGTGATATAGCAATTATTGTTCTTCTTCTTCTTATTATTATTATTATTATTGTTATTATCGTCATTATTATTATCATAATAATCATTGATTGTTGTTGCTGTCGTCATTTTGGCGCCGTCGTCATTAGCTTTACTAAAAAATAAGTGTTGCTACCTTAACAATTTCTACCACAATAACTATTTTTGATTATAATTATTATACCTATCAACTATAATATAAATAAATATATTACGACTATTATGAAGACATATGCTCGTGTGCATGTACACATACACACACACGTACACGCGCACACACACACACACACACACACACACACACACACACATTTACATTTAGTTATCAACTTCTGTCCGTCATTTTATCTGTCTGTCTGTTTATGTGTCCATTTATGTATATGTAAAAGCCCG